GAGAAAGCCACAAAGCGGCGCAGCCTACTATTGATTAGGGTACGGTGACCTAATCAAGGGCACAATTCCCAAGGACCCTATAAATAGGGAGATGTCCCTCTTTTTTAGGGCACGTTTTACCACCGAATAATTTTATTATGGTTCAAATAATTTTTTAAGCATGAGGAAGGAGCTATATAAGTGTCTATGTACACAAGAAATAAATTGTATGTTGGTGCCTTTGTGCACTTAAGGTGTTTTTAACACCGAGGGATAGGATTTTTAAAAGAAATATGTATGGTATGTTTGGTTGATTGAATAATTATTGTTGATTGTTTTATGATGCTTTGAGAGTCATCACCAAGTCCAATAAAAGGTAAATAACGTAAAGTGAAAGAGATTACGCACCAAAACTCTTGGAACGTATATACCTTGAGTATGAACAATGGGGGGAGTTATGGGGTTTTATATTTAACCATAAATTCTAATGGAGTATAGGACGTTGAACATTCCTTTTTATTTATTATTATGCGCAGGAATTCCGCCACCTTTGAGTGGTTTTTTCGCTGGCACGGTTAGCTCCCGTGTCAGTTAACCTCAATTTATTTGGGGGAGGATAGTTAGAAACCCGTTCGATGCGTAATCAATGCTAAATGAATTATTTAGTGTCTTGTCATTATGTTTTGTTGATTGATATGTGTGCTTGTAAACAGGTGCAATGAGGTAAGTGTGTTGATAGGTGAAAGCATGTTAGTGTGTTTAATTTACGCTTATGTACTCAGCTTTGCTGATTGTGTGTGTTTGTGTGTTTGGCCATGTCTTTACCTTGGCCCTATGATGACCTATTTATAATGGAGAGTAGTGGAAACAAGTGGAGATAAACTTTTCAGGTATTTAAGTATAATCATGATGGGGCATGAGAGAAGAGTGAATCTTGCTAGCTTTCATTAGGTTACGATGTGTTTTATGCTTTATTTGTTTATGACATATTTTATGTGGACTAACATAAAGTTTTGGTTTTGGAACGGTTTTGAATAAGGGCCTTTAATGGTTCCAAGTTGTAGTTTGATTTTGTTTGACTTTGTTTGTTTGGTTTTAAAATTTACTTTCGTTTGGTTAACTTTTGAGTTGACTTGTTTAAACGGTTTTTAATTTTGAGTCTTCCGCTGTGTATCTTTGATAATTGCCTTAGTCATTTTCATGGTGGCGGTAATGTCTTAGATATTCCTAAATGATATTTTAAAGAGTAGAATGGATATTTAATGGAAAGGAATTTCTAGGGTGTTACGGGTCAAGTGATCGGAATGCCTGGGTGGAGGCCACTTTCAATCAGTAATATTAATGAATAATTAATATTACAGCTTCATCTTGACTGAACCTTTCGGGTCACACCCAAGCTACTAGCGAACCAGAGCGTCGAACATTTTATCTTGAAGCGTCGAAACCGAGCGTCGGAAGTCGAGTAAAAAATAATAAAATACAAGACGAGAAAAATTAATAAATCAAAAAATTCCCAAAAATACCCCTAGCATCGAAATGCCACAAGAAAACCTAGTGATAGGGGCATATGGCCTAGCATGGTGGCTAACATGCGCACCAAGCCTAGCCTAGGCAGGCTGGTGCGTGCTAGCGCACCCATGCTAGCATGGCTGGGTGCAGCCATTTGCGTGCATTGGCTAGCAAGCCGTGCCGCAGCAGCCAGCTGCAAAGGCTAGCATGCTAGGCGCGCCAGCCTGCAGCAAGCTAGCAGCAGCATGGCTGCTGGCCTTGCATACAGCTTGGCCTTGGCCAAGCAACCCGTACGCATGTGCGAGGCCTCCAGGCCGAGTGTGTGGCAGCAACATAACATCCTACACTTGTGAGGCTTGGTGCCCAAGTGTGGGTGCCATTTGTCGCAAAGCTAGTGGGGGTGTGAAGGGTGAGTTGGTGGTTTTTGGGGAGTTCTTGGGGAGCATGTTTGGTCCCCTCCTCTGCAAATGGTCCTCACCTAACGTCTCATGTGAGCTTGACACTTGTTGATTTATTTATGGCTTGCTTATTTATTTTATAGATTTAAAATAAAATGAATAAAATCAAAATATTCCCACTTCGAAATATGATGGGAATTTTGTGAGCCTTTGCCTATAAATACCAACTTAGGGAGTTGGGAATTCTTCACTCAAGTGTTGAAAAGGCATCACAGTGTGAAAATCTTGTAACATGAATTACTCGGGTTTTTAGTTCGAGCCTTGCTAACTCCAAGATATTAGATCGATTCGGTGCTCGCGTTGCGGGGGGACCTTGAAAGAGGTCGCCGTGTGAGCGGGACTTGAAGGCTTTCGAGTAAGAGCTCGATTTACTGAACGAAGCACGCTACAAAGGTAATAATTACTTACTTAATCTTGTGTTTATGTTAATTATATTTATGGTTATAATTATTGTGAGTTTGGTTTTGGGGTCGGGTTTCCTTCTACGGTGGGTCAGACTCACCGAAACCCAACAGCGGTATCGGAGCCTTGCTCATTTATTTTTATAACCCTATTTTTCAAGGTGTTTATATGGCCTAATTTTTCCGGTTTTAAGTTGCTAATTAGATTAGTAGCTCGGTTTTATTAATTTTAATCCCGTGTTCTGGGCGTTTGGGGAAGGGTTTTACAGATTTAGCCAAAAAACGATCAGAAATGCACTTTTTGAGGGATTTTTCATTTTGACGAAAAATTATAAGTCTTTTTAACCTTGAAAATTCATTGCATATTTATGGTTGTTATGTAATTGGTTCATTCCTTAATTTATATGCTATTTTAAACCTCTTTAAGCATGATCTCTTCGTAGTAACTTGTGTTTGAAAGTTTGGTTTTAATTTTCACGTAATTACAAATTAATTGCATTAAGTGTGAAAAGTTTCTTCTTTGTTGCTTCCAAGTACTAAAGATTCAATCTTTAATTGTTTTAAGTAATTGAAACTTCGAGTTATTAAATTCCATGAATTTTTTATTGAACTTTTAATTTAATGATGTATTAAGTTGATTGGAATCATAAAGCTTAAAACTTGTGATAGAAATTTCATTTTTATCTTCATATTGGAAGATATATTTTTTCAAGGATTCACAAGTATTAAAGTTGGAATTTTTTTATTGAACTTGTGTTCATTTTTCTAACCACCTTTTATTTTGTCAAAATCTCATGATTAATTTAAATTAATTAAATTAATAGTGAGTGATTTCCCTCATTCATTTTATTGCATCAAGTTGAACCAATATTATTAAAGAGTTGTTCTTGGAAATAATTTTGGTCTAGTGCACTTGAATGAATTAATTAAGTTGGACTTATTTTATTTTCATTTATTTTTGCTCAAAATATTGATTCAAAAATTAATTTAGAATTCATTAGAAATGTCACACAAAATCGGGAATAATCCCGAGGCACAAGCATACAACCCGAGGCACAATAGTCATGAGCATCCCTTGGCCAGCTGGGCCGCTCGCGCAGCCTGCATGTGGCTGCCGAGGAATGATGGCTGCTGCGCTTGGTGCGTATGGTGCTAGGAGTGTGCGAGGAGCTATGTGCTAGCTTGGTGCGTGAGGGGCGTGCGAGAGGATGCTAGGCGCAGCAGCAGTGCTAGGCAACTGCAGCTATATGCGCATCGAGTGCGCACTGCCAAGCAGTGCCCAGCAACATCTCGGCACGCAAGGAAAAGGCTGCTAGGCAACGCCCAGCACTTGCGTGCATACGAGTGCTCAAGGGGTGCTACCCTTGGGTAGTCGAGGAAATTTTTTCTTGGGTTTTAACTTTGCTCATTTTGCCGTTTTAATTATTTTATTAATTTAATTTGGTTTTAATTATTTTAATAAATGTTGGAGGCTAGGCCTCGGTTTTTGAGTGGCATTTGCAAAATTTAATTTTGGTAAATAATTGGGTTTACCAGCTTAATTAATTTGATTCATTAAGATGGATGCAAAATTTAGTGGGAGCTTCAATAAAATTACATAACTAATTAAACAACTTTGGCTAGTTTTAATTAGGCATGTTAATTGGATTAACGACCTAAATTATTTACAAATTACGCGCGATTTATACATTGTTCGTTGTAAAATGCATGTGCCATTCACAAATAGTGAATGGATGAATGGAATGTATATTCTCTCATAGGTTTATAAAAATGGCAACTAGTGGGGCCCAATTAGGATAAAAAAAAAGACTGCGATCCGTGATGTATTTTTGTAAATCTAAATATAGTCTGCGAACCGTTTAGTATTTTTGTACCTTAATATTTATATTAGTCCTAATCGTAGATACTAGTGTTTGCATAATTATGGTCATGTCTTGAAGACGATGGTTCTTGGAAGACGAAGCCATGAAGTTGCAAGAGCCGTCCCTTGAAGACTTGAAGATTCAAGGGGTCATGCTAGTTGCCAAACGCATCTTTATTTATGTTTTTGATATATATTTATGTCATTTATATATGAATTATATGTTAGATGCATGTTTAGGATTTTGAATGTTGGGATGATTAATTAAGTTCACATAAATCAGCCAACATAGAAACCCTACGTCCCCACTACTACAAAAATTGCCAAAGAGACCTGTTGAAATATGCATGAGAGACCGCCTCACAACGGGTCTCTATCTCAGGGATCTGTTTGATAAAGAGACCCGTTCATTAGGGGGGTCTATTTGTGAGGACAAAGAGATCCGTTGTAAGAGATAACGGGTATGTTACGTGAGTGATTAAATTAATAATTTAGATTGAAAACATACCCGTTATTTGAGATATAGGGTCTGTTTAGTGGGTATCTACCAGAACTATTATATCAAACAACGGGTCTCTTGGTTCTCCAAATTTTTTTTTTAAAAAAATAATTTTTCTTTTTATTTTATGTGGCTTGGGAGGTTTATGTTTGAATTTTGAAAATTTTGTTTTATGCTATATTAAAATTGTCGGAAAATTGATCATAAATTGTAAGTTACACTTTAAGAGTTCAAGACCATACAAAATAGCAATGGATTAAATTTTAATTAATAAGATACAAAAAAAAAAAAAAAAAAAAAAAAAACTCATTACATAAAATTGAAAAAAAAAAATCAAATTGAATCAACTAAAATTTAGAATTATAGCAATAAGCTAAGACTTGAATACTCCATTATCTTCTTTGATTGGGAATATGGGGGATGAAATCAAGCAAACCTGACAAACAAAAAAAAAAAAAAAAAAAGACAAATTAATACTCTTTATTACGAAAACTATACGCTATAACCACATTTTAAAGTACTTTCCTTGTCTTGAATTTTTGTTTTGACGTGATCAATAGCGTTAGAACTCTCAACTTCAAGGGTGATAGTCTTCCCGGTGACGGTCTTAACAAAAATCTGCATCCGCCCTCTAAGACGGAGAACAAGGTGGAGGGTCGATTCTTTCTGAATATTGTAGTCAGCGAGCGCTCTGCCATCCTCCAGCTGCTTTCCAGCAAAGATCAGATAATGCTGTTCTGGGGGAATTCCCTCCTTATCTTGAATCTTTGTCTTAACATTGTCGATGGTGTCAGAATTCTCAACCTCGAGAGTTATGGTTTTGCCGGTAAGAGTCTTAACAAAGATTTGCATCTGCAGACAAATCATAAGCAAATCAATAATTTCACAGAAGGGATTATATTGGACTGATCATATTGATACAGTAAAAAATTACCTAATTAACCCAATTAAAGCAACATATGTAAACCAGCAATGCTTGCAATATAAAAACCTTAAATCAAGCAAATTCAGCCATAACAGATTATATTCATCAATCTCAGATAATCGCCAACACAAGTAATAATCCAATATACATAATCAATGGTCAATTATAAAGCGTATGATAAGTCGTGTTTTGTGTATATTATTTAGCTTGTTTTTAGTTAGATTTGTTAGTTTAGTTGAGTATTTGAGTCCGTTTTGCTGTAATTTGGTTTAGTTTCGATGATTCGATGCTTTTATGGGTACTTTCGTTGTTTTTGATGTATTTCAGGATTAACGGAGCTAATTTGGAGATTTTACGAAGTCACGAAGCTATGCCGAGGCCCACGAATATTAAATCATGTGTTCAAGACGAACTTGAGTGAAAATGAAGCAAAACGTTGATGAAATACTTGACAAATATGACATCTGTTCACTATTATGCTCATAACTTTTGGTATACAAATGATAATGGAGTGATTCAAATTGCATTGGAAAGTATACTTAAAGACCTTTCCAACGATATATTACACGCCTCAAACGGAGCTCCCGATATGAAGTTATGACTGATTTAAGATGAGTGATACGTGCAGCAGATCTGCAGGCACGTCCGTGCCCATCACCAGGCACGTCCGTGCCTGGAAGACAGACTCAGCAGCGTTTTTGTTTTTAGAGAGGCACGTCCGTGCCTCACACTAGGCACGTCCGTGCCTCCTGGGATCCTTGTGCGCCAAGCTTTTTGCCGACTTTCTTATCTTTTCTAGGGCTATTTATATACTAAGTGGTGTTTTATTAATTAATTAAGTTTATTTTATTTTTCAATTCCTATTATTAAGAACTAGTTCTCTATTTTTATTTTCTTTACTTTTGTAATTCAAGATTCAAGCTTTCTACCTTCAATTCAATTCAAGATTCGGTATTTTCTTTTAATCTCTGTAATTATTCATGTTTTCTTTATTATTTATTGTTCTTGTTTTTTTTGTTATTATGTTAGAGTAGATTGTTGTTCTAGATTTAGGTTGAACCTTAATATGGTTAATACTTAATTTATTCTTTTAAATTCTCAATTAATTATTTATATTGTTCATGCTTAATTGATTGCGCTTATGCCAATACTAGATTAGAGATAATTAGTATTGTTATTATTCCATTAGATGAAAATGACCTTGATTAGGAACAATCAACACATTTAACTCACTCTCACACAATTAAGCATGTTAATTATCCTACTAAACTAATTCACTCTCGTGCAACTAGCCTAGAAAAGGTATGGAAGAAATTAGGGCTCTCAACCAACTCACTCTCGCACAATCGATTGAAAGCACAATTAAGAACACATAATATATTAGCTAGAAAGATTCTAATCCATAAAAGCATCATCCATACACAATAATCAAGAAACAATTCCATACTAATCACAATCAATCATTCAATTTATTAACATAACTTTCATCCAATTCCCTAGAACAAAATCTAAGCTAACACAATGAAGAAAGACATGGAAAAACAAGGTAAAATAAGAATAAAAACAAGATTAAACAAACAAACTAATTAATCTACTCAAATCAATAAACAAAAGCATAAAACTAAGAATTAAGCAAGAAATAAAGATGAGAGAAAGTTAGAAAATGCTCATTGAATAGATGAGAAGAAGTTCCACAAAGTTGCTTCTTCAACCTCTCAAAAACTCCATGGAAATCCAAGCTTTCTCTCTCTACAATACTCCTAAAACTAACCCTAAGAGACAGAAAATAAAGGCTAAACTAATCTAAACTATATAAAAAATAAAATGTTGATTGATAGTTCTTAGAAAATAACCCAAAGAGGGTATTTATAATACAAGCTAAAATAATATAAAAGAAATTAAAAAAGAAATAAAACTAAACTAAAACAATTAAAATACTAAACTAAAAACCAAAAAAAAACAAAACTAAAAATAAAAAAAAATGAAATAAAATGAAAAGGAAAAGAAAAATCCCAAAACCCACTAACTTTCCCCCAAAACCCACGAAAAAAAACATCAGACTCCTTTCTCCTTTCACTTTTGAATTTGGCTGCTCCAATTCAAGCACCCATTCACGCATCATCATCACCGTTCATACTCCATCATCATCAGCAATTATCACTTTGCATCAGTCCGATTTTCATTAAAAATCACGTGAAAAGCTCGTGCTTGACCCACAATTGCGCGCCCGCACAAAGGTCGCACAGCAAGTCGCGCAAAGCTACTGTATCATTCTGTTTTGGACTCCAATTGTGTGCGCCTTCTGACAGGGCTGTGCGCCCGCGTTTGAGGCTTGAGATGGTGAGTTTGGGTGTTGTGAGTTGCGCGACTATTAGGTGAGTAATTTGGTGGTGATTTGGGTGGTTGATTGTGGGTGAAGGGCTGGTGGTTTAATTGGCGTTGCGGGGGTCGAATTAAAGGTGGTAATTGCTGGCGGTTTGGTGGCGAAATAGGAGGTGTCGGTAGAACAGGGGGTGTGAAATGGTGATTAATTGGTTATTGTGGGTAATTGATTGGGTTGCTGGTGGTGTGAATTAGGGGAAAGCAGAGGAGTTGTTAGGTTGGTGCGTGGCTGGAGATTGGTGTGATTGGAGGTGGTTTGGTGGTGATTAATGGCGGTTTTGGCGGTGGCTGGTGTTGTTATGGTGGGTTGATGGGGCTGGTTTGGTTGGAGTTTGGTGATGTTGGTTGCGGTTTATGGGAGCAGGGGAGCAGGTTGAGTTGTGGTGTAGGAGTGGTGGAGCAGGTGGTTGTTGATGTGCAGTGAAGGGGGCTGAAGTGTGGGTGTGAGAAGGTGGTTGCTGGTGGTTGTTTGGTGATTTTGGCGGTGGTTGTTGTGGAAGTTGGTGTTGGTGTTGTTGCGGGAAAGCAGTGGTGGAGCTTGGTTCAATTTTGTGCCTCGAACCTCGGACCTTGAACTCGATCGACCACGGACCCGAAAACACCTACAACCAAAAACAACACGTGGGGATTTTTAAAAGATAAAATAAAATAAAATAAAATAAGTTAAATAAAGTAAAATAAAAAGCTTAAACTAAATAAATAAATAATAAAATAAAATAAAACAAACTAGAAACTAAAAGAAAATAAAATAAATAAAATGAGAGAAGCGGGAAATTATTAACTAAAACTACAAAAATAAACAAAAAACTAATAAAAACCACTAAAATACTCAAAATAAAGATAAAAGATGAGAATAAGCAAATAAAAGAATTAAAGAACAAAATGGGCTAAATTATTGTAAAATAAGCCGGAAAACGACTCAATAAACACCCTAAAAGTGACATAAAAGTCACTTATCAAACTCCCCCAAGCTAACCTTTTGCTCGTCCTCGAGCAAATTAACATGAAACACGGAAGAAGGAGAATGATTTATTCAAGCAAAGTTAGACTAAAGGAGACAAGAAAGTACACTTACTCACTTTCGTAGGAATCACGGTCAATATTAGCGACAAAAGACAAGCCCTTTAAACCCCTAGATCGCCCTAGAGGACGAGTGTGCTCTCGTGAGGGTGTCCTAAGAGTTTAACCCACAACTCTAAACAAAAATCAAGGCAAGGCAATAAAAAGAAAAGAAAAATAAACATTAAAAAAAAGAGAAAGAAAACACAAAGTTCATATTTGGACAAGAGATAGGAACAAGCACCAATGAATACAAACCTTTCTAAATAGACAAATGTATGTATGTTCCAAGATGTCAATGGTTGATTGAAACATAACATATACTAAGCATAGATAACTAATGAGGAATCAATCCAACCTAGCCCCAACCAATCGGGCAGCGTTCTCTCCACTAGGTTCAAATCAACCCTTAAGCTAGCTTCTCATGATTCCACGAAGGAACCGGAAAAAGATAAAGAAATGAAAAACTTTGAGAAGGTAATCCCGACATCTCAACTATGCATAATCTCTCCATAGATTTGAAGTCTATCTCCCTCCACCGTTCTTTGACCCAACCCCACTAAAGTCTAAGGGTCTTTTATTGGGTTGTAACATAAGGCTAAGGGTTAAGGCGGGGTAAAAATTTGAAAATTTTGGTGATATTTCCTAAGTGAAGCAAAAGAGTGGCCTACTCTCAAAAACAAACTCAAGAAGTCACAAAATATCAAAGAAAAATACCAAAAATGCCATCTCCCCCAAACTTACTCAACACTAACACATAATAAATACAAAAAAAGAGAAGAAACGCTCCCCCCAAGCTTGAACGAAACATTGTCCTCAATGCTTAAACTAGGGAAGAAACCGAAACCAAGATAAAATATTTTTATGTTTTTTGTTTCTTTTTCAACAATTTTTGTTTAGCTCTTATTTGATGTCCTTGCCTTTTTTAAATATGGACGGCTTTTTCTTGAAACTTCCTTTGATTTTCTTGAATTGCATCTTTCTTCTCAAACTTTTTTGCATTTTCTTTTCAAGCTCAATTTTCAATACCTTACTTAAACCAATTCACAAAGTTTTCTTGCTCATGATCAACACTGTCAAAACTCAAACCTCACATGCCAATGCTTCACTAACTAAGAGGGTTGGTAAACATAGGCCATTGGGTTTGTAACGTGGTTTAAACAAGAGCGGGAAACATTAGGCTCAATTTGGTTAATAAGTAGGTCGATGAAAATAGAAAACCAAATTTGTAACAAAACAAAAAGAAAATAAAAAAAAAATGAGAAAAGGTGCCCTTTTCCTCCCCTAGAGTGGCTCGGTCACGATCTTGGGAGCTAGAGGTCAAAACAAGGATTAAGACATGCATAGTCAAGGATCCTAAATAGCCGCTCAACAAGGTGATGAAGGCTAGAACAAATGAAGCTCACAAGGGATTATAACCAAACAAATACCAACCAAGGGTTTCAAATCCACTATAGAGAGCAACTCCATCTTACCACATTCTCGTGAACTAAGGCTTCATGGACCCCTTA